GCTGGACAGCCCCGGCGGGGCAGCGACAGCGCTCACGTTTCCTCTGCTTTGCCTCGGTTTTATGTTCATCTGTTGGGGATAAAATACTCTTGGCACTGTGGAGGTGTGCTGCCCGGCTCCAGGGTGGCATCCTGGGCACCCCCAAGCAGGGGCTTTCTCACACCTGTAAAATTTCCACTGTGGCCACCAGACCAGCTGCTAAGACCCCAGAACCACGGAGGAGTGGAGCTGCTGCCATGCTCCCCATGGAATGAGTGGTCTGACCAAGCACAAAGATAATGTGGAAGCATTAGTCATCTTGGCCCCATGCAAAGTAACGATTTTAATAATTTTGTGACTTTGCAGGGTGAAAAGATGTATCATTACTGTACCCTGGTGCACTTTATAAACATACGAATCCTAGTAACTATTACTCAGACCAGCTTAACGTCAAGGAATACCTGTGCTCCTTCCTCATAACCTTTATGTATAGACACGTTGTGAAAAAAATTAAGCTACAGACTCCTATAAAATTTCCTTGAGCAGCTGACCCTGGCTGACACCAACATATGCCTCCACATCACGGTTGACACCCTTTTGCTCTATCAGTCTGGTTTTATACCTCCCTTAGTGGGCAGCAGTCCTGGTGTAGGTTACAAGGTTGTGGTGTTACTGGGGTTCTCAGGAAACTCCATTAGAATGTGCTTTTTCTCCTGTATTCAGTTTTGTCTCCAGAGCAGTGAACCTCCAGTGAGAAATTTGCAAGCTACAGAATGCTTCTTAATCCCAAATGATGATGAATTTTTTGCCTCCTGTCTTCTCCAGGATGCACCAGCAGAACGTTGTGCGGGTCCGCTGGGAGTGACCCGCAGGTAGCACCATCTTCACGTGTGGTAACAGAACTGGGAGAAGTGGAGAGCAGATCAGGGCTAAACACACCATGGGAGCAAACACCTCCAGCAAGTCACCACCCCTCAATGAAAATGAAGATGGTAAGAGCTCTCCCCAGTTGTTGTCTGGGACTGCAGAGTCTACCTGTGCAGAGACTGACTCTGGGTCCCCACCAGCTCCCGCGCTGGGGCCGGAGACACCCAGACACGGCTGAACAGAGGTGTGCCGAGGTCTGCAGCAGCAGGCCTTGGTCTTCTGCAGAGCGGTGGTCAGGGGTCCTTTCCCCCCCCCTCTCTGCAGCTGGGCACTGGGACAATGACTGTTGGCAGAGGCTTGGACTGGCGTTGTCCCTGGGGCAGTGCCAGGCGCTCCGCAGGCAGGGAGGGAATGCTGCTGTGCCGGGGCAGGGGAGGTGTGCTCTGGAGAGCACAGCACAAGCAGGGCTGCTGTGGGGCGTGCTGGGAGGATAGCCTGAGCAATGCACCTTCCCATCCCTGCTCTGGGCTTGGTAGGAGGGCCATTGAGAGACCTGGTGAGCAGCAGCAGAGGTGGAGGTTCCTGGTGACTGCCCCGCTGGGCAGCTCTACCGGCTGGCACTGGGGCACCAGCATGTGGGGCTGGCTGGCTGGAAAAGGAGAATGCACTGCTGAGAGCAGTACTGGAGGCCAGTGTCACTGTGCTGCCAAGATTATAGAGACAGTCATTAAAAGATTGTTCCATAGACATAGTTTCTGTTGCATGAGTCAGCTTGCTAACTGCCAAATGGGCTTTCACCTAGGTGCTAGTAATAAAATGCATATGGAGATAAATAAAAATATACAGAAAATAAAGTAAAATCTACGAGAACCCAGATAACTCATAAATTGCTGTCTCAAAGGTGTGAACTCCAATCAGGGAGGATGTATCATAGAATGGTTTGAGTTGGAAGGAACTTTAAAAATCACCTAGTTCCAACCCCCCTGACACAGGCAGGGGCACCTTCCCTTAGACCAGATTTTTCCAAGCCCCATCCAACCCGGTCT